GAGAAGGGGTCATCGTCCAGGCCGAGAGTCCTGATCAAGGTGTTGACTTCCTGAAACTACTTGTGCCAAAGTAGGGAGCACACGAGTCGAGGGTCTCGTTGCTGAGAATTTACTTAGCCAGGCTAAGGTATGATACATGAGCGCTGAGAACCATGAAGCGAGTGGCACCTCGTGGATTGGACCTATTCGATCAGGTTGGGATCGAACGCATGGCGATCACACGGTGACTAAGACAAAAATAAATCAGGATAGTTGGAACTCCCGAAGTATAAAGTGAAGTATTTTTTTTATAAGAAAGAAAAAAGAAAGGATTTTTTTAGAATATTCGTAAACTGCTATTATGCAATTATTTTAGAATTGTTCTTAGAAGTTTTATATTTTTCCATGCATTTATAATCTTTGTTCGTAATGTATATTTTATTAAAGTCGCCCTCTGTCGTTGAGACTCACTGAGTACAATGGATTATACTGACGTTCTCTTTTGGGAACCTACGTTGGTTTGCGGTACAACGTAGTAACTGGTTTTGCATGCGAGCAGGCTATAGGTTAGGACTTCCCTCTCTTCCAGTACTATTGCTGAGCTCCGCTTTTGTTCGTGGAGTATTCCTTTGAGTCATATTTATTTAGTTATTTTTTTGTTTACTCGGAGAACTAGCCAAACAATCTCATGTCCTGAGCAGTGCGTCAGTTTATCAGTAGAGGTTTTATAGACACAATCGATGGGTTAAGATTCATATGTTTTTTATAATAACTTAGTAGTATTTAAGTGGTTATTACAATAAAGTTTTGGAGTTAGTTTATTTTAGATATTTAAATTAATTTAAGGTACCTTGTTGCAAGTAAGGTTTGAAGTTATAATAGATTTGATAAGCGCAGATGGTTCGCTCGGTCAAGTTTAGTGATCAGTTGCCGGTCACGGCTTGTTCAGAAAATGGGTCGTGATAAACTTGGTATCAGAGCTCAGGTTTATGGAGTTCTAGGGGTCTATGAAGCCGTGTTAGTAGAGTTTTGTTTATGGGTATGAAGCGCGCCATACTTATAAACAAGAGGCTACAAGCATTTAGGAAAAGTCTCATTTTTTTTTCATACTTTAGATCGTGCAGTAGAGCCTACCTCTAAGAAATTATCTAATATATTCGTTTCTCCAAAACTCGCAGAAATAGCTCGTACTCGCAACTCTGACATTGGCACTCAGGATGCTACTCAAGAAACTATTGCTACTATTGTGGCTCAAGGTAGAACTAAGAAGGCTTCAACTCGGAAAAAGAAAAGGTAAATCCACAAAAGGGGTTTAAGTACCTCGGGTTGAACATGAAGAAGGGGTGGAGCATGATGAGCCAGTACCTCAGAATCCAGTGTCGCCCCCAACAGCAGCTCTGGCTCAAACAGCTATATCTCCAGAGGTGGGTCAGATGTTTAATACTGTCAACAATGCTATGGAGATGTTTAAAGCCTTCATGGCCAACCAGAACGAAAGAAGAGATGAGATTCCACCTCAATCAAATAGACAAAATAGTTCTGAGTTCTCAAGAGTAAATGAATTTTTAAAGCTGAGTCCTCCATTGTTCCGTGGTACTATAGTTGATAAAGATCCAATGTTGTGGCCGGAGGGTGTCAAGAAATCCCTCCGAGCGATGAAGGCATTTGATGATGAAGCTGTGGAGCTGGCTGCTTACCAACTTAGAGATGTGGATGGCGCTTGGTTTAAGATGTGGTAAAAGGAAAGAGATGAAGATGATGGTCCACCTACTTGGAAAGAATTTGAAGAGGCATTCATGGCTAATTTTATACTAGAAGAGGATAGGGAAGCTAAGGCTACAGAGTTCGAACAACTCAAGCAAGGGAATAAAAGCGTGCAAGAGTACTATATGGAATTCATAAGTTTGGCTAAGCATGCTTCTCACATGGTTAAGACAGAAAAAGCAAAGATTCGCAGGTTTGTTGGCAGTTTGGCTTACCACATTAAGGAACCGACATCAGCTGCAGCGGTAGGAATGATAGCTTTCTCCTCTGTTGTGGGATTCGCCAAGCACTTAGAAAAAGACAGACAACAAAGGAGAGAAGAAAAAGAGCATAACAAGAAAGCCCGGACATCGGACAGGTTTAATGGTATATCCAGCGGAGGTGTAAGAGGTTCCTCCTATAAGGAGTCATTAGCACTAGCTCAGTCAAATCATCAGTCAGGTGGTGGGTCTTCCTTCAGACGTACTCAGAGTTATGGAAACCAGTCTCGCCATAATCAGAATTTTAGGACATCATCCTCACATAGCCAGAGTCATACTGAGCAACATTCACAACAACAAGGTCTTTGTGGAATATGTAAGCGGCAACATTCAGGTCAGTGCAAGCTCGGGTTTCATGGTTGCTGTCATTGCGGAGACATTGGTCATATAAAGGCCAACTGCCCAACGTTGCGACGTAATTTCAGTGGTGGATCAACTTGTCCTTCTAATTCCTCAGCTACTACAGTTGCACCACCTCAGACTCGTGGTTCTCATAATCAGGCCGGGCAGTGGGACATGCAGAGGTGCAGATCGAGTTACTCAGGGAGGGGGACAACACTGTTTGTTTGCTACACTTGATCGTCAGAGTGCAGAAGCATCTGCAGAAATTATTACAGGTATACTTCTAGTCTGCTCACATAATGCTTGTGCCATAATTGATCCAGGTTCAACATTTTCGTACGTGACTCCATACTTTGCAATTAACCTCGGGCTAGAACCTGAACAACTTAGTGAGACATTCCTAGTATCTACTCCAGTTGACGAGTCAGTGGAAGCCACAATAGTCTATAGAGGTTGTATGGTTTCAGTCCAAGCCACAATAGGCAGGTAGATGTACGCGTTACCGGGGCGGCTCAAGCATATGTGGGGCTAAAGCCAAAATTTAATATGAGACCTAAATTTTTAAAAGGAAGTTATAAGATATATTTTTATTTGAAATCTATTCTTTTAGCTTTTTGAGATATAAAGTTGTTAATAATCTTTTTTATAATCAATTTTTTCTAATAATTCGTTTTCCATTGATATTATAGCCAACTTATTTAGTCTTTCTTGAGATATTGTTGATTTTAGATAAGATATTATAGAGCAATAGAAGTATAAAACTATTGGAAGCTTAAAAATATTGTTGAAGACTTAAACTAATAAAATCTTGGAAAAAGAATATGGGTAAGAATATTAAAGAGAAAATAAAAAATATGTAGGGGTTTTCGAAATATGAAGAGATTGGGAAAACGAAAGATTGACTTGAACAAATTAAGAAAGGGAGAGTAAACATTTTACATGTTATCTGATGAAGGAGTAAAAAGTAAAAAATTGAAACGTTGGGAAAACTATTCATCTACTCATTTTTAAGCAAGTTGGTATATATATATATATATATNGTATTAAAAGTACTAAATATTATTTTTTAAAATACATATAAACCTATTATTTTTAATAAATGGCCCCCCAAATTTTGGGGCCTAAGGCATAAGCCTTACCTCTTATAACGTTAGAGTCGGCCTTGACCCGTGGGTTGTAACAGGTTGTATGTTGAGTAAGTCAAAGTGCACGCGAGTTGGTTTGAACATCACGAATCAGAGTTAAGTTGTCCTTGTAAGCATATATAATTTTCACCGCCATATTTAAAACCTAAATAACAATAGTGATCACTTCGCCATGACTGTTTCTCATTTTTTGGCGTTTTAGAGCCATAAATAGGAATTCACGACGACTCTCATATTTTCGTGTGCTATAATCAACGCCGTCTGCATGAATTCGGGCGACCGTCCCCGCATATCCTAAAATTTTGCGGGCCCATAAAATGACGTAATGAACAATGGCCATCCCTTCGCACTGATCGTTCCTACTTTTTAGTGTTTTAGGGCCATAAAACAGGAATTGAGGACGATTCCCAAAATTTCAAGAATTATGCGGGCCCATAAAAAATGACCTGATGAACAATAGTCATCACTTCGTCATGACCGTTCCTCATTTTTTGGCATTTTAAGGCCATAAAACAGGGATTCAGGACACGATTCCCAAATTTTCGTGTGCTATAGTCTACGTCATCTGTATAAAATCGGGCGATTGATCTCGAATCTCCTAAAATTTTACGGGCTCATATAAAAAGACTTAATGAACAATAGTCATCGTTTCGCTATGACCATTCCTCATTTTTAGCGTTTTAGGGCCATAAAACAGGAATTCAGGATTCCTAGATTTTTGTGCGCTATAGACCACGCCATCTGCATGAATTCGGGTCATTGGCTCCGAATCTTCTAAAATTTTGGAAAAATGACACTGTATAGCCGCTCTCAAAATAATAGCCGAAAAAATTTATATTTTTTTATATTTTTTTGTATATATATATACATTCTGCATGTTATATACAAAAATTATACAAATTTTATATACTTTTTCGGATACCAAATGTAAATAGTTTCTGGCGCGGGCTATAAGTGAAAAAAGCCCTAAAATTTTGCGAGCCCGTAAAAAACGACCTAAAGAACAATACTCATCGCTTCGCCATAACAGTTCCTCGTTTTGAGGGCCTGTTTATGTATTATGCCTTAAAATTATGGGTTCAAATCTAATATTTGTTGACATTTTAGTAGATTTTTACCTACATATCTCTACTCCAACCCCTGCTCCAAAAGTTTACTTTTGCGCTTCTTGGAGCTTATAGCTAGACTTGTAAAGTAGGAATGTATTTGAACTCTGATAGCAGGAATGGTTTTGAGCCTTTATTGTATGTACTCTATTCTTATGAGGTTCCTATTATTGCTGCTGTTGTAATTCCTTACATTCCTTGTATATAGATTTCAAATCCAAAGAAAAGAAATAAATATATTTGCCATGAAAATAGAAATCATTTCACTTTTCTTATTCTACTGAACTTAATATTGAAAAACTGTTGGGGTCACTCATTCTGTCATTGACAAATCTGAAGAGGATAATTTGCAGAATAGATGATGAAAAGAAAGTAGTAAAGACTTGTTTAACAATGTCATCAAGTAAGGGAATGAATGTTCATGGGATCATTCAAAGCATCTGATCTTTATTGCCTTTAAAATACAAGAGTTTCCAATACAAGACAGAATTTCTATATCTCATTTTAATTGCAAAATGTGTAAAATCTTATTAATAGAATTCAAGTTGTATTCTATCAGTATACCCTGGTAAGACCCCAGAAAAAATAGGGGTAGCTAAACCAGCTTTAACATGATCAACTCATTTCCTCATGGTTAAACTTTCAATGATCTCTGGAAATCATCTTCGAACATACGATGATGATTCATAAAGGAAAACTTCCTGTGAGGCGAATGTGATCTAACGTGCTTCGCAAACCATACTTATTGACAGCTGCATAAGCAGCTCTAAATCCTCCACCATATGCTGGAGAAGCATCATGTGCTATCTGGTGCATGAAAAATTCACCCAACTTATTCTCAGCTTGTGATTTTCCGCCTTTCTTAGACGATGACCATGTAGATGAGGATGAAGAAGTTGAAGTAGATGGCATATTTCTTGATGCAGGCATTACCTCTGATTCAAGCCACATGTGTGAAAGCACTTGGCAGATTCCTTCCTCTACCTCAGGGCTGAGACCACGGTATCCTGCAAATTACAGAAGTTCTGATGATGAAACATCAAGCTATAGCCTAGTGTTTTCCTTGTTCATATCAGTAGTATTAGTACGTATTCTCGTATTTTGTTAGTATTAGGTTCTTAGTTCTATGCTACCTATTGTTTCTTTCATTTCAGTCATCTTATTATCTTGTTGCTATTAATGCTGTTGTTTCATGGCTTCTTACTATTGTTCTTGCCCTTTTTCTTTTCGTTATTGTTGTGCTTATGCTTTCCTGAGCCGAGGGTCTATTGAAAACAACTTCTCTATCTCTACAAGGTAGGGGTAAGATCTGCGTACACACTACCCTCCCCAGACCACACTATGTGGAATTACACTAGGTATGTTGTTGTTGTTGTCGTCGTCGTCGTCTTCTGCCTCTTTAAATTGAAGTCTGCTCCAGACTGACAAAGTTGAAAGAACGAATCAAAATTTACCTTTAAGACGTAACCAGGCATGCATCAGTTCATGAGCAAGAATGGCACCAGTAAGTAATCTGCATATAGCAAAGATTTGGTAAGCCTATTTGCCTTAGCATTATATGAAGCATCTTAATTGTTAACTGATGATGCAGTATTATCGACAGTTCGACACAAGAAAGATCCAGGAATAGGCAAAGAAAGTACATATGTTCCATCCATTTTAAGATGTAGATCAACTTTAGTTCGTCTTTGCTTCAAATTCTATGGATAATAATTTAGTTTCATGCCAAAGCACATCCTACTTCTTTTCATATAAGAATGCAGATCGACTACAGGAATCAAAGAGAAGAAAGGAGTTACCTTGGGAGGCCATATATTACTAATATAGCTGTAACTTCACATCTTCTAATTAGTTTCTGAGGATGTGTTCTGATTCCTACTAGTCCACGGCCACCCAATCTTGGCCTCCTGAGTATCTGAATTGTTAAAAAAATTGGGGTCATCACACGTATCATTTCATCAGAACATCGTAAACACATGTTTTAAGCGAGCCTAATATGTAAAATTATTCAAGTGAACTGAAGATCTTACACTGGTAACTGTCTGCTCTTCTGATAGGCATAGACCTCGGGTTTCAGGCATATGATGGATACCCTAAAAGAGTTTTCAAGTTAGTGATCTTTGCGGACAAAAGGACAGAAAAACTACAGGCAGAGATCATTCATCATACATGCTTCTCCCCTTCAATGGCGTCGTTAAGGGCTTGTCTTTCGACAAGTAGCATAGGAACTTGCTGATCTATTTTCATATTCATGCCTTCATAATAATCTCTAATGGAATGGTAAAGTGGTTGGCAGTCCCCGGTATCCATGATTGCAGATTCCATGCACTCTAAGCATAAGCCTCGACCATCTCCAAGTGACATATATCTTGCATTCCGCGACTTCAAGAAGATAAAAGCAAATAAACAACAAGCATATGAGTTGAATGAGAGGTAAATATCCAACATCTTTAATTTCAGCTGCATACATCCGTACCTCTAGACGTTCACAACTACAACACCTTTTGGTGTTATCGTTCTCATGTGAAGGGCAATATTTCTGAGACCAAAATGGATGGCATCTGTACTCGATCAAGCCAGCTCCGTTTGTTGGTATCTGCAATGTGAATTGTAGGCAGTCATAACCAGAGGGACTAACCAGGTGAGAAACATACACCTTTTCCCATTAGTTTGCAAATAAATTTTAATTTCATTAGTTATCTGCAATACCTTCTCTGCTCACAAATTGGTAGTAAAAAAAGTCATAGAGAGAAGAAGTATGTCCTTACAAATTGATGGCAAACTTCACATTTGGGATGAGTCATTTCCTTGAAACATGTCTTATGATATGTATTATTCCCTGACAACGAAAACTTGAATCAACGAAACCAATGAGCTAACATGTCAAAATACTCGAGACTAATCAGTTTGTATAAAAACTGCATTTTCCATGGTTTTACTTTTTGTTTTCATATTTAGCAGAGGGGTTGAGTATTGGAAAAATGACCAGAAAAAGCAAGGACAAGAATGTACCTCATATTCAGTAATCGGAACACCACAAGCGCGACAAAGAAAACATTCTGGATGAAAGAAAGTTCCCATGCATCCCAAATAATTTCCAGAGACAATATCCCTATAGCAGCCACTACATTTTCTGCAAATATTTATATGTGTACATAAGTTATCTCTTACTCTAGAAATAACAATCCGGCATAGTTTTCATCATCAAGAAAAGTGTGTGCGCACACACATAAACAATCCATATATGTACAGATCACGTCGTGAAATAATAGAACTACTTAATTTTCAGATGAGACAATGCATAATATGATATGTCAACAATTTTGGAAACAAAAACCAGTTACCTATAACTATTGGGATTATATTCCCAAGGAGCATATGAAGGAGCATAAGGAGGAAGATATGGAGGATATGAGGATGAATTAGGGTTATCTTGAAGTGATCTTGCTAGATCTTCATCTTGATCAGTCCTCCATTTGTATCCTGATAAACATAAACATTTTATCCTCTAACCTCAAAATAATGAAATCAAAGTTTTGAAAATGGTATGCTAGAGGCAAGAGAAAACTGAATGAAAGGCACCCGGTGCACCAAGCTCCCGCTATGCGCGGGGTCCGGGGAAGGGCTGGACCACAAGGGTCTATTGTACGCAGTCTTACCCTGCATTTCTGCAAGAGGCTGTTTCTACGGATCCATGACCTCCTTGTCACATGGAGGCAACTTTAACAGTCAACCCTAAGCTCCCCTTGGGAAAACTGAATGAAAATATAATTACCTTTTGGTCTCTGCAAATCTTCTGCAAGAGAGAGTGCAACTGCACGGTCTAGTTCCTCTTTCTCCTTACCGGTCCTAGAGTGATCATCCTAATCAAATTTTAAATGTTTGAGAAAACAAACAATTGAAGGACATACCGAATTCAATTGAAAGAAATATGACAAGGTTAAGTTTAGGAGAAATTTGTAGTCATGATTTATTTGATGATAGTTAATTGAAAACAATGGGGAGTCTAGGCATGATTGGTAGCCTTAACTGGTAGCCTCTCGCAGAAATGCAGGATAAGACTGCCTACAATAGACCCTTGTGGTCCGGCCCTTCCCCAAACTCGCATAGCGGGAGCTTAGTGCACCGGACTGCCTTTTAGCTAATTGAAAGCAATGGTCTAACTTGAGTAATCAGTGGAAGAATTCAAATCATCTAACTTCTGAAGGCAACCAAAACTCCTGTCCTTAGAACAAGTAGTACAGCTGAAAAAATAGGTCTTTTCTTTAAATTCTAGTTGGCAATAGTTCTTTCAGATCTTTAACAATATATAGAATCCTATTAAGAAGGGCACAAAGCAAGCTTCTTTAGGAGACTAAAGCCAAACACCCTCCCCAAAAGAAAGAAAGAAAGAAAGAAAGAAAGAGAAACAGAAAAGTGTAGTTGAGACTTTGGTTGATACCCCTGAAAAAGAAACAGAGTAGCATTTTTAATAGCATGGTTAATGAAGAGCTTATTCTTTTCCCTATAATACAATTTAGCCTCTAAGAAAATTATGTCATTATTTTCATCTCAGAATCATGATTATAGAAACAAATTAAAGCACCAGAATTCAGATGGCACATCTAAAAATACACCCTTTAATCTCTTCTTCACTTTTATTAAGTTTCCCTAAAAAGAATACGGTCAGCTCGGTGCACATCTCGCATTCGCGCAGAGTTCAGGGAAGGGTCATACCCTAAGGGGTGTGATATAGACAATCTATCCTAGTACAAGCATTACTTATTGCTTCCACGGCTCGAACCCGTGACATATAGGTACACGGAGACAACTTTACCGTTACCCAAGGCTTCCCTTCCCTTTTATTAAGCTTCCTACAAGATCAATAATATATCCTGATATTACAGATATCACAAAGAGACATTATAAGGTCTATCATAAACATTTAAGTAAAAAATGGTGTCAAAAAAAGAAGAGTAAAAAATCACCATTGATCTTGCTGGAGCACGCCAAACCTTATTTTCCTCTCCAAGAAACTGTGGTTGGTGTCCACCTGGCATTCCCCTATTACCTGACCCTCCACCCTTGAAAAGTTTACTCAGCCATTTCATAAATCTTGACTTTCTCTCAGCAGTTGAAGAAACAAAATCACCTGCTTAAAAAAAAATAATAAAAAAACTTTTTTACATAACTAAACCAAACTTCATGCCAAATTCTCAAAGGATATTCAAAAATATGAACCAAATGAGCCACATTGTTTTTACATATAACTAAACTAAGCTTCATGAAAATACCCAAAAGGGTACTATTTCAATTGCATAATAAACCCCACAAAAATATCAACCAAAAAACCAACTTTTTTTTATATAACTAAGCTAAGCTTCATACTAAATACTCAAAAGGGTATTATTACAAATGCTTGAACTCCACAAAAAATGTCAACCAAAAAGCCAACTTTTTTACATAACTAAACCAAGCTTCATGAAAAATACTCAAAAAGGTACTATTTCAATTGGAAAATAAACCCCACATAAATATCAACCAAAAAAAACCATCTTTTTTACATAACTAAACCAATCTTCATGAGAAATACCCAAAAAGGGTACAATTTAAACTGCAAAAAAAAAATTATAAAAAAAAAAAGAAGCCTTTGAATACATTAAATCATTACCATATATGCAATGAGTAAACCAAGCTTCATTAAAAATACTCAAAAGGGTACTATTTCAATTGCCAAAAAATCAATCTTTGAAGTCATTAAAACATTGCCATATATGTAATGACTAAACCAAGCTTCATTAAAAAGGCTACAATTTCAACTGTAAACAAGCTTAGTGTTTGAAGTCTTTAAAACATTACCAAATATGAAAGGCTGAGATATATGGTTGACAGAAGACATATCAAGAAGGAGAAGGGTACGCAAAAATATCAACCATAAAAAGCCAACTTTTTTACATAACTAAACCAAACTTCAAGCTAAATACTCAAAAGGGTAGTATTTCAATAGCAAAAAAATCCAGTCTTTAAAACATTACCATATATGCAAGGCTGAGATATATGGTTAACACTTGAAGAAGACATATCAAAAAGAAGGGGTGATGAAATTTTATGTATAGAAGAAGAAGAAGAAGAAGAAGAAGATTTTATCAGAATTTTTCCAAGATTTCTCAAAGGGTGTGCTAAAAATGAAAAGGACAAAGTGGGAAAGAAAGAGAGGGATGTGAAGAGAAGAGAAATGGAACAATGGCATCATTAATAAAAGCCAAGTTTTTTATGAGAAAGAATCTTGTGAAGGAGAAAGATTCTTGGCTTGAGGAAAAAGAGGAATCTGCTGAGAAGGATTGTGATGGAAAGGGGAAGAAGAAAATGGAAAGGATTGTGTTAGTGAAGTTTTCAGAGAACTAATACTGAAACATTCTTTGATTGAGTTTTTTTCAAAGGTGGTTGGCTGGTTGCCGGGGAAAGGAAGTTCTTTACACAAATGGGGCTTCCTTTTCTTACAAACTACCTCTTAGTCCCTTAATATTTTACAATTCTTGTGCATGGAGAATGGAGTATATTTACGGTAAGAGACGGAGCCAAGATTTGAAGTTTATGGGTTCAGTATGTTAAATATTTTAAGTTACTGGTTCTAAATTAGTAATTTTTACATATTCTATGAATCTCTTAAGACAAATACATAATTTAGACCAAAACTACTGAGTTCGGCCGAACCCATAACTTCCACTTTTCCTCTGCCCCTATATACAGTTTAACTTTTATACACTTAGGGAGTCATGTGGTTGGGGAACAAGTTAAGTCCGGATTAATATTAATGAAGTTTATACCGAACATACCCTGTCTCCATATTGGATTAAAAACAGGATCAGAATTATCAAAAAATCCTAATTCATATAGAGCCATCGATCCGGCCTAACCAGCAATAAGAGCTAATGTATTATATGCCTGATCATTCAAAAATAAAGCTGTACTAGCATGCTACAACTCAAACCCAAACCTACATACAAATTTAGTTGCACTAATAAACTACATCACTTGTACAAAATTTTATATACGCCATTGTCCAGGTCCCTCATTAGATAGTCCATATTGTAGAGGATGAGTTCACTCGCAGATTCAGAATTTAATGTTTGTGGGTTCCTGTAACGATCTCAAGTAAATTTTCAATAGTAACTGAGTTCACATTTAAATATTTATAAATATTTAGTAAATTTTTCGAACGCATTTACATTGTTTGGACAAAAGTTACTGGGTTCACGTAAACTCCAAATTGAATCCACCCTACTCACATATCACAATCTACTTTCTAGTTTCCTAATAATAAGTCAACCATGCAAAATACCCTATGTCCAAAAGTAACCCCCTCCCCCACTAGCCCCTACCATTTTTGGTCTTTGGGCCATGCCAACTTGTAACGGTCGTGTGGTTTTCCAAGAGAATTTTTCCCAAACTAACGTTAGATATTGATTGTATCAGCAAGTTGATGAACAAATCAAATAATATATACATATATTCGGCTTTCGGTAAGCATTATGTAAGTTATGGAAAAGTTAGAGGGCGGAGCTAGAGTTCTAGCTACAGACCAACGGCGAAACCAAAAATTTCGCTAAAAGTGTATAAACTTGAAAGAATTAAAAAAATATACAAACTTGAAAGAAGTAAAAAAATATTCTCCGATAAAGAGTGTTCAATATATGTTATATACCTCTAAAATATAATATTTCACCTATATATGCAATGTAATTTTTCGACGAAGGATGGTCAATTGACCACCCTTAGGGACTATGTAGCTTCGCCCTAGCTACAGATAGGGGTGGAGGGAGGATATTAGTTACGGGTTCGGACGAATCCAGTTACTTTGAATTTGCTCAAATTTTGTATTTGTATTAGAAAATCTATTTAATTGCGGACCCACTAACTAAAAGAGCTATAGGCTCTATGACAATTCAGAACTCATAAACTATAAATCCTAGTTCCGCCCTCTCGCTACGACTGCCTTTTTCAAAATCCATAATCCATAAACTCAAATTTTTAAATCCACCTCTAAAAACAATAAGTATATAACGAATCTCATTCAAAGATAGATTCTAATTAATATCAAAGAATCACTAGAGCAAACTAATTAACGGTCTCAAACATTTACTAATGTGGAGCACTATTCTTATATCATTTCAAATAAGGTATCTTGATCCCTTAATTAATGCAGTTGTCACGCATTTATACTTTTTTTCCTTTTTTTTTTTCTTCTCTTATATAAAGTAAAATGCGAGGTTAATGTGATTGTGTATTAGTAGCATCTGATTTTTCTTAATTCAACTTTAAATGTATAATTGAGTCATATTCTTGACTATTTGTCTTGTCGTTTTATAGCAATAATTTTCCATTAGAGGCTAAGTTTTAAAAAAATCTCTCATAATTTTTACTAATTTTATTTGAGACTCAACTTTTATGTACATGTTTGAGGTTATTTATTTTGTATTTTTGGCACTCGTCTTGATTCAGTATAAAATATGAATTTTAAGTAACGACTTAACTACTGTTTTTTGTTTCAAAGTGGACGTCATAGTATTTAATTTTAACCTTTTCAAATTAATGGCTACTACCACTTATAAATATACACTCTCATTATATAGTCATATCTTTTAGTAAGTTCACTTTTGAGTATTAAAATAAATGCAAAATAAGTAACAATTTATCGTTGGACCCATGGATCATAAAGGCAAATCCTAATTCTTCCACCTTACACAAATTACCCTTCCATCCAAAGTTTAGTCGCTTTGGCAAACTGAATTTATTTAAAAATATTGACGGTTTAGAAAAATAATAATAAGACATTTTTGAGAGAGAGAGAGAGAAGAAAAGCCATATTTTAGACAAATATTCTTATTATTAAGGCTATTAAATATCTTTTTTAATAACCATATGAAATTTTTTTGAAAGACAAATGATATGAACCGATAATATGTTATCATTTTTTCATTTTCCATCCGATGTTCGCATTGGATCCCCCATTAAATCTAAATTCACATATTGAAAGTAAAGCGCTCTCTGATAAAGATAACTTTTATACCCGAGGTTCAAATCCGAGGCTAAATGATAGTATATTAGTACAATTTAAATGACTCAAAACATAACATGGTTTGTTTAAAGTTATGACACTTAGAGAATTGTGCCTCATCTGTTGGTTTTCTTTCTTTTTCTGGCCTTTTGATCAGCCACTTTACTAGAGTATTTTTCCAACGATTTTATGCGTTAAAAAAGCAAATCAAGATCTGGCTGTGATGCTCTCATTCGAATCAGTACTCTTTCTCTTTAGGGTTGTCATCACAAACTAGTATTCTCAAAATAGACTAAAATATTCATCCATTATACCAATATTATAAATTAATTAATCAGTCCATATTCTTTTGGAGGAAACCTTAATCTTGATTGGGTGATTAAAAAGAAAAAAAGGTATAAATTGTTGGCACTCACTTGTTTGTCAGGCATATAGGCAAAATAAAGTAGTTTCTTAATTGCATACGAGTATATATATTTATTAGTGAACAGTATTATTTTTCTTTTCTTTTAAAAGGCTGACATCAGGTTTTAGTGGCTGCAAATTGAGTCCTAATTAAATTATTTCAAGTGGTAATGAATTCAATATAATACTGGAAGTTCTAGATTTCTTTTTCCAGACAACTGATGACAAGAGGCGGAGTCGGGATTTGAACAATATGGATTCTAAATTTTAGGATAACGATATCATATATTAGTAACTGGATTCTGAATTTAATTTTTTTTTAAAACATATTAAATGAATTTCTTAATACAAATGTAAGTTTGAATTAAAATTACTGAATTTGGCTGAACCTCTAGTTAACGTTCTAGCTCCGCCCGACGCGACAGACCAACAGATCCTGTTAGACTTCCTTTCTTATTCTTCTTTTCTTCAACGGTTTCTATTAAATATTATTCATGTTATGAAATTAACATGCAATATGTTAAAGTTATGAATGGCTAGCTAGCAGCTTTTTCCTTCTTGAAAAATCCAAAAAAATCCCTTTTATTTTTCTTCTTTTCCCCATAAAATCTGCA